AGCTGTAGAGCCGCAAATCCTTTCGTGATGTTGGCGGAAGGGGAAGAAAGGTGGGAGGCCCCTGCCCCTCCAGGGTGTTCTCCCTCAAAATTGGGGGAAACTGAACTAAATCGTACTGTCACCTGCATGGTGCGCAAGGCTAAGTCTAACGACAGGCGTACATCTAGCCCCTTGCCATGATGAATATCTTGGACCTGGATCTGACACAGTCGAGATCAGGTAGCATAAAAACAAAAGCAACAAAGAAACAAAAACAACATGAACAAAAAAACAAAAAACAACAAGAATCATATGATTTCCCTTAATGAATACAGTGATTATTCAGAATAATTGGTTGATGCAATGTTGAATCATCTTATTTTGAAATGTGCCTATATGACAGTTTTTGGAAAGATAAAGTTGTGGTTAAAAAATAATATTTCCCGTTTGACATGTAAACTAAAGAAATTAGTCATCATGCGATTTCTTGGTGGGTTCAGCACCATCATAAAAATTAAATAAAATCTCTCGACAGAAGTTTTAAATGGTGAATTATTATACACATAACACACACACACATATATACATATATAATTCTCATTAATTTAATCTTAAATAACTTTTTATATATAATTATATTGATGATCCATTCCATAACTAACTACCCTCTTAACGGTAATCTTTTGAACTACATCTGTGTATCCACCCAGATCATATGATTTGAACTTTCGTTCATTTTTTCATGATAGTAATCGACTTATTAAAGCTATGTGCTTCAAAAAAAAAATATCTTGGAACATACGAAGGTTACTCCTTATCTTTATTCATAATGAACACAAACAAAGATCTAAAAAAGAATGGATGGAATATAATGTTTGAAGAGTTTTAAGTAAAATACGTCTTGACTGGCATAGTATAGACTTCCTTAAATATTTAAAATAGAGCATATACACGTATGTTACACTATCTACAATTTCAGCATACATTATTCTGATATACACGAGATTCAATGGCTTTCAGTCACAGCAAGCGTGCTTAATATATAAGACGGCTGACTTACTGGAGACATAATAAGACGAACTATTTTCAAGAAAGAAGACGTAATTAGATTATCCGCACGCCGTCATTATCGAAGGAAAGCCAACTTTAAGCATCCGGCTCTTCCCTATTCTAACCCAGGATTAGCGCATTCAGTATTCTGAATCATTGCCTAATCTTCGGGGAAGGTGCAACTTAACGGGGATTAGACTGCGTCCCCAACCACCTGTCCTCTAGGAAAGTGGTGACCGAATTTCTCCTACGTCTTCTGTCACACCTGGTGCTTGCAACACTTGGAAAAGTTAGGTGCGTCGCGGGTAGTGAAACGAAGTATCTTTCTTAAGAAAAGGACGATGGGTGTTCTTTTATAAAGCAGGTGCCAATGATAAGAAATAGCAGTCTGTATAGCTTTTGAGCCTCATGTATTATAATTTATGTTCTTTAAGATTATACAGTCGCTGTGTTTGTAGTGAGGTAATTCAGAATTTTTTCGGCAGTCAAATAAACAAGTAAAATAATTTTTTTTTAAGTCAATTTCTACTTAGATCAACAAAGAAAATTTTTGTTTTAGCTACTTTTTATTAAATAGTTACGATTGATATAAATATGTATATACATAGGACAGAATCACAACGTTAAGTGGTAATTAATTTTTATTAATTATCATTAAAGTATCATATTGTCATCCAAAACAGTCGTGTGTATAAAATTTCAGTTCAAATGAATGCTGTAAAACGTGAGAAAAAAAAACATTTTCAAGTTTTGACGCAAGTCGCCAAAAGGCTCGCTAAGTCGCCAACGTGGCTGTGTTAATTCTTTAAATAATTAGTTTTAATCAATTCATTTTTTATTAATTATAATTAAATTATTGTATTGTCATCTAAAATAATCATGTATATAAAATTTCAGCTGAATTGAGCGCTTTAAAATGTATTTTATTAACGATTGAAAATTCCACCAAGATAAATAAATAAATAGAGAGTGTGAGCTACTAGTAGGAATTGAAAAAGTGTTGTTTAAAATGTCATTGAAAAAAAAAGAATTATGCCGTTTTCTTTGTAATCATTTAAAAAAAAGAGTGAAAACTTGACAATTAAAATCGTGAATTTTGAGGACAGAATTTGATTATTCGACTAAAGGCGATCAATAAATCAGTCAAATGAGCTCTATATATTAACTATCAGTCAATAGATCAGTCTAGATCTTGACTTTGCCGACCATCCGGTATAGTGATTAGTGACGCTGCCTGCAGTGCCTAGGGCCTGGGTTCGAATCACGGAGAAGGCATGGATTTTTTTAAATGTATAGTGCTTTCGTGGCATGGGGGGTACTCTAAATAGCCGTCGAGCCGCAAGTCCTCTCGTGAGGTTGGTGGTAGGGGGAGAGAGGCGGGAGGTCCCTGATCATCCCCAGGGTGTTGTTCTCCTTCTAAATTGGGGTGGAACCGAGCAAAACCGTACTGTTACCTGCATGGTGTTCAAAGCTTAGGGTAACGTCAGGCTTAAAAATCTAGCCCTTCACCGAAATGAATTTCGTTGACCTTGATCTGATGTTACTGTCGATCAGGTGGCTTAAGTAACAACAAAAGATCTTGACTTTTATGCTGTTATTTTCACTTGGTTACAATTCAAAATAACAAGGAACTACGAGCTTAATTGGTTTTGCAAATTCCAGTACAATATCAATGGAATGAATTGGTCTGCAATCAATTATTATTTTCGTTACGAATAATAAAGTATAAAGAGAACAAAAAAGAAGTAAACATTATATTTTAATGGGAAGAAAGTAATTGTACTCTAATAAATAATTATTTACTTGTATGTTTATATGATAATAATTCAGATTCTTAAAGAAGGGCTGAATACCCATCTTTTCGCTTATTTTTTATTCCCTTTATTACTATTCTTCTATTTTAAATTATTAATATGCATGTATCTTTAGAAAACAATAGAGATACATCAATTGTTAAAATTTATGATTCCGCAGAGTTTAAATAAAATAAACATGTTCCACACGCCAAAAAGATATTTATATTGTTCTATAACAGTATTCTTTGATTTATCATCTACATCTTAACAAATTAGGAATCCATCGACTAGATTATTTTACTTTCCTTTACATGTATTTCATTATTAAGAATGCAAAGAATGTGTACAATAGGATTCTTTCGAATGTATTGTCGAAGAATTTTCTTTTTCTCTCATCATTATTTTGAACATAAGGTATTAGAAAAAGAAAAAGATTCTTCTTTATTTTATGTAAACAAACATTGAAAGAATATTCTTAAATCTTCATAAGATTTTCGAGTAGAATATATTTAATGGAAAAGGATATCGATGAAGAGGTATTAAATCCAAATCATTGTTTATGTATAGCATTTTATTATTTTTAAAATTAGATTTGTTTTTGGATCTCAGTAACCCATGTCTTTAATAACTTCTTTTAATAACTCGAAATGCAATTTACTTTTTTTTAAAAAAAAAAAAAGAAAAAGGTATACTTGATTTTGTATACATGAATTATATTTATTCGATTCTAAGCCACCATCAATTCTAAGCTGCACTCCAAGTTGACAACACGTTTTTGTCGAAAAAATAAAAAATAATGTAAAATGGTTTTTGATATCCAGTATTTACGAAATTAAAAATTTAAATGAGAGTTAATAAGAAGTGAATGATTTTTTAAAAATTTTACTAATTTTAAAAACTTTTAAATACCGTAAAATCCGGCGTATAACGCGCACTTTGAACACAAAAAATGAGATCGAAATATAAGTGTGCGCGTTATACGCCGGGTATAAAAACGATAGCTTTAAAAATAACAAAAGAGATGATCATAAAAATTTTTTTTACTCCTACACATATCTAAATGCTGTTTATTTAAAAGAAATGACTTATCTTATGAACTAAAAGAGTTCTAGTTCTAGAAATATTCTATATTATTTCAAAAGTCTGGAATAATATCTCGAATAAATGACTTCAAAACATAAGAAGATTGTATACTATCATTTCAGATTTCTTCATAAAACGGGGTGCGCGTTATACAGCGAACATACCTAAAAGTTAAAAAATGCAGCTTAAAAGTATAGGTGCGCGTTATACGCAGGATTTTACGGTAATACACGAACCTGTAATTGCTGTAACGCGGTTAATATCATGTTCAATCTCCACCATCCGACGAATTGTTTCACTTTTGATTCTAAGCCGCACCTGATTTTTGGTATCATTAATAATGAAAAAAGTGCAGCTGAGATTCGATTAAATACGATATATTTTATGCAGTCACGTTACCTGTTCATTTAAATGATAACGAAAAATAAGGTTACTGTATATTGACCAATAGATAACTTAAATACAGTATATTTCATGCAGTTAGATTACATCATGATAATGAACAAGTAATATAAAAGAAAATTAAGTCAATTCCTACTTAGGTCAAAAAAGGAAAATTTTATTTTAGATACTTTTTATTAAATAGTTACAATCAGTGGCGAACACAAAGGGGGTGTCGTAGGAGTCCGGTCACCCCCCATAGCCCTAGATTTGTTTTCGATTAGGTATAATCCTATGTATATATTTCGTAAAAATTAATTATGTATTTGTTATTAATAATTAATGTTATTAATTAATGCTAATTATTTATTCAATAGTTAATTTTGTATTGTTTTTGTTCCCGAAAATCGACAAAATCAAAAGAATATATTGGGCGGCGTATTGGAGCATGATACCAAAATGGTGGACTTTCGATCCTGGAACCCCCCTTGAAAAGATTTGTGTGCACTACTGGTTACAATTAATATAAATATGTAAAAATATATGACAGAATCACAATAATAAGTGACAAAATAGACAGTGATTTTCCATTTTGCCTTCTATATATGGTTTTGGGCTATTTTTGTCTGTTACTATTTATTTATTAATTAAATTTAATTATTCTAATAAATCGGTATAGTAAAAAAGAAATCACATTCTCAGAAATTAGGCCATCCCAAGTGTGATTCGAACCCACGATCTTTGGATGAGAAGTCCAACGCGCTATCCATTGCGCTACACGGACACAACGAACAGTTTTTCTTTTTATTTATGGTGTTGGACTATTATTTTTGTTTGTTACTATTTATTCATTTTTTAATTTAATTAATGAATTAATATTTGAAAAAACTGTATTAACATCAAGTGTCATCCACTACAAATTTAAAAAATGTATTTGAACTTGAATGGATGAATAAAACTTGTTCATATTTTCGATCGTTAATAAAATAAGATATATATCTATAGGGAGAGAGTCAACAAATAGTAGGAATTAAAAAATAAGGTTGCTGTATCTGACCAATAAGGTAACTTAAATACTGTATATTTCATGCAGTTAGATTAACTGTTCATTTAAATGATAACGAAAAATAAGATAACTGTATCTAACCAATGATATAAATAAAGCTGGTAAAATTTTATAAATATGAAACAAAATATATTCAAGAATATCAAAGATTTCTCCAAAAAATTGTACAAAGTAGCATTTTTTGTTGAGACGAAGTAAAATGGAAAGATTATATGGAATTCAGCAAAATGTTATCTCTGCCAATTTATCTCGGGGAAAAAAATAGCCAGTGCATAGATATCTTAACCTATCGGGCCAGAGAAAAAAAAAGCCTGCTTTTAAGATTTGTTCCGAAATCACCAATGGAACAGTTTTTTTAAAGAAAATACAAAAACGTGGTACATAATAGTGGGGGGGATTACCCTCATTATTGGACTAGAAAGAAAGAAGATAAATGGAACCATTGATATGTTAGCTACGCGAACAAGTAGCAGGAAAAAAAAGAATCCAAAGAATTCTGGAAGCTTTATTTTGTATTCAATAGGAAATGGAATGAATCACAGGTTTGTAGCGATTATCTTGGGATTATTGCGTTTGGTAGATTTGTGGGTGCAAATTCTTGGAATACCTGAGAACGTAAAGAAAGAAAGTATGCACTTCAATCCATCTGAACATGAAATTATATATATTCGTATGAATGTTTAAGGTATTCGACTGCGTTCGGAACCGTGTGATTTTAAAAAAGCGCATAAATGAATAATTTTCATGATATTTAGTAGCACTCAGATTAGAATACATGCATAAAATTGTTTTAAGGACATTTTGACAAAAAAAATTATTTAAATACAATATTTTGGCAAAAAATGAACTTAGAATAATCTTTTTTCAAAATGTTCCCCTTTTGTGAAAAATACTTCTATTGTAATAATATTCTGCCTGTATATAGCTCAGAACTCTCTACAGAGGCTCAACTAGAATTTTTGAAAAATTCACATTATTTTCAGAGTTACCACCAATTGAAATAATTATTGGCATTTTTTTCTAAAAAATTCCTCTCCTCTGTTGTCGTAAAAAATGGATAAACCCACTTCTAAGTTATATATTTCAAAAATTCTAGTTGAGAGTTCTGAGCTATATACAGGCAAAATATTAATATAATAAAAACATTTTTCACAAAAGGAGAACATTTTAAAAAAGATAATTATAAATTAATTTGTTGCCAAAATATTGTATTTAAATATTTTTTTTTTACAAAATGTCCTTAAAACAATTTTATACATGTATTGTAATCTAGTGACACTAAATATCATGAGAATTATCCATTTATGCGCTTTTACAAAATCACGGTTTCGAACGTAGTCGGATACCTTAATGTTAAAAGCCAGATTTATTTTTAAGTTTGAAAAATATGCATTTCTAACTAGTGAGAATTTCGAATTGTAAATGTTTTACTTTATAACATGCACAAAATGTTTACCGTAAAATCCGGCGTATAACGCGCACCTATACTTAAGAGCTGCAATTTTTAAATTTTACATATACTTGCCGTATAATGCGCACCCCCTTTTTTACGAAAAAACCTGAAATACACGTGCGCAATGCTCTTACATTTTGATTCGAGGTATTATCCCAGGTTTTTAAAAAAATAGTACACTTCTAGAAATACAACTCGTTAAGTTCATAAGAAATGTAATTTCTTTTAAATGAACTGTGTATTTCGATCTATGTAGAAATCTAATTTTTTTTTCTTTGCTCATCTTTTTTCATTTTTGAAGCTATCATTTTTATACCCGGTGAATAACGCGCACCCGTAAATTTCGAGCGTGCTTTTTGTGTTAAAAGTACGCGTTATACGCCGGATTTTATAGTAATATAAAATTAATTGTAATATATACTTCAAGATATTGTTATTAATCAAAAGGTAATTTTTATAAGAATTACCCGAACTATAATACAGTTAAGTTATTCGATATAAACCTGTATAGCAAAGACATTCGTTTATCGTAACATCACCTAAAATATTTCAAAAAATTCGAAAAGTAAATAGTTTTCCTCTTTACTTTGAAATTACAATTCCGTTTTGCTTTTTATTTTTTCGCTATTTCTAAGGATTTTTGGGTTATTTATAAAAAAGAGCTACAAGAGGAAAAAGTGGACGTTTACTTTACAAAAATATGAAGATTTCATTTTCGACAAAATTGTGTGTTGAATCAAGTTTCAAGAGCCCAAAAATTTAAAACTTTCTCCTGGCTTGAAACTCATTTTCTCAGATGTACAAAAAAAAAAATTTTTTTTTTTTCATTTATCTACCTCCAATAAAAATCCAGTATTTTAGCGTATTAAAAACTAGTACACATCTTCGAGCCCGAAAAATGTCTTCTTATTTTGGATCTTACTTTTTATCAATTACCTATAAACTACTTCTATGCATATATTTACTTTGATCGAAAGCCTTTTGTATAATATTAAAATTACCAACTTTTAATCTAAAATGTTTTAATCATAGAAATAAAATAAAATCTTGTTCTGAATTCTTCCTATTACCACTTAACTGTCTGGTCGTCTTTGGAAAATTTGTTTCTGAACTGTGTCGCACAAATTAAACGATGCGAGTGTATTCCTCTATTACAGAGAATGTGTAATATTGGATTAAGATTTAATGGATTTTTTTCTTTTTTATTTTATTTATTTATTTTTTCTTCTATTTTTGGAGTTCATTTTTTCAATTTCTACTCTTAGCTCACTTTTTCCCTATATATATATATATATCTTGTTCAAATCTTCAATTGTTAATAAAATACTGTTTATTCATCCATTCAAGTTCAAATATATTTTTTTAAACTTGTAGTGGTGGACACTTGATGTTAATACAGTTTTTTGAAATATTAATTCATTAATTAAATTTTATTTTTGAATTTTAAATTTAATCTGGGTTATTAAATTTATCTGTAGCAGATGGCGCCAGTAAGTTTTTCTAACGAAGTAGGAATTGACTTTTAAAAAAAAATTTATATTACTAGTTTACTTAAATTAACATAGTTTGCATTTGTATGAAAAAAAAAGGATTAATTAATTTCTTACTTTAATCTATGATTGGAGAATTATATTGAGCAAAGCATGTTGCAATTTATTTAGGAACTTTACAATTTAAACACCATTTACAACATTGCCATTTTTCAAACATTTTTCTGCACATTTATGTATTTCAAATTCTTTCCTTTCACTGTAACGTACATTACTTGTTGATCCAATGATAGCTTAATACAGGTTAATTAACTTTTTCCAATCAGACAAAAATATTGCGCCACTTATTGCATAGACTAAAACAAAAAAGGGAATCTGTAATTGCCTTAGGGATGACTAATAAAAAGTCAACAATGCATTTACAAAAAAAATTATTCGTATCATATCCAGTTCTTTCATAATTATTATTTATAAAATTAGTCTCAAAAGATTTGAAACATCTCGATCTCTACGAAAAATGTTTAGTTTCCACTAAGATAGCAATTGAAAATTGTCATTTCTGTTTACTAATGATGGATATATGTGTCATAACATAAAATTGTGCACTTTTTTTCATGCCGAGTATACTCGTCATAAACAGTTAATTGGTTATTTATGCTTACTAATAAATTACTTCTCTCATTCAAATCCAACAATGACAAAAAAAAAAAAGATGAATTATTTTAACAACATACAATTAGGCTGAAAAACTGGCTAAAAAGAAAAAAATTGGTTTAACTTTTAAGTGCATTTCTCTCTGATTTTTCAAGTGCATTACTCGCATTTTGATCAAATTTTCATCTTCTGAAGCTAATTATAAAACTGTTTCGATTTTTTGAAGTGGATAGCAATTATTTAAAAGTATTACCCCCCTAATAATTACTCAGAAAGTGAGACAGTAGAAATTAAATTTTAGCAATTAGCGACCAAAGTTTCTACTATTTTCTAATACTTTCCTAGAAATGCTAATCGTGCACTCGCTCAGTTAGTTTTGAAATAACAATTTCAAGGAAACTTGTAATTACACAATATGTTTGTCTTAATTCTAATTTAAATAGAACCGCTAGGAACTTTAGTCATTAGCGTACAAAAGAATTAATGTCCCGATCTCATTATCGTGTAAAGATCTATTCCAACAATAATCAAATAATGGTGTTCTCTTTGGAATAAATAGTAGTAATTTTCTAGATAAAATGTGTTTTAATTAATTTCTTAGATAAATATACTGCGATATAAATAAATTTGGCTATTTTAAATACTTTTATTGCGGTTTAAATTGTCTTTTGAAGCTCAATGTGACAGGGGTCCGATAAAACTTTTACCGAAGCGTATTTATTCTGAATTCAATTGTTCTTTTTTAAAAAGTTTAAATAAATAGGTTTATAAATGCAGTGAAATCGTTTAGGGGACTGGAATATTTTTTCGTGTTATAGGATATTCAAAAAGAAAACCTATATTCAACAATACTAAGCTTATAAGAGTACATTTTATTTACATAGGTATTTATATGGCCATGTTTTTAACTAAAATCAATAATACAAAAACGTTCGCAAAAATGAAATTTTATACAAATTTTAGCAATACCCAAATCTTTAAGGATATCCACTTTCGCCTTCAGCCTAAGAAGCTCCATCTTCATTTTAAGCAAAATAGTAGTTTGCTATTCCCTCTGAACTATTTGCCAAGGTCCTCGTAAAAATTCTTCTAAAATAGAAAAAAAACACGAATGAAAGTCA